TTTGTTGGTTCTTGTGCATTAACAAGCTTTTGAAGATGCAGTGTGAAAGCCTCTTGAATCTTCCTTGCCTTTCTTGTAATAATTGCTCCTTTGATATATGTAACTGGTCACAAATGGATTCGTATCATCCTTTGATAGTGGAGTCCTCGAATTTCAAAGAAAAAAGTAAGTGTTTTATATTTCTATTACAAAATAGATTTCACAATCTTTTGGTTGAACATATATATTAATTACTGTTGAACTATACTTGATTTGGTCACATCCATAATCGTGTTTTTCCAACACAATTTATCGAATTCATAACCATATTAGATGAAAAACATAACATGCAATAAAAATTGTAGACTAAAAACATTATCCAAACTAAAACCAAAAAGTGTCACTCTCGACTTCCCATCTATACTTCTTAAATCAATCAATAATATTATTTGTTTAAACTATGAACCGACCGCACAGGGATCCTCAGCATCTTCGAGCGTTGCCGTCTTTGCCAATCTATAAGCCACCGTGTTGCTCTTCTTTTGAGGGATTTGATTCAACCAGCTCCGGTAAGTTAGAATGGTTCTGGATTCTCGATTGCCAGTACTTCAAGTACTTCCCATCTTTTCTTTTAGCCATTCTCACGGTAGTACCTTCGCAGTCCTGTGGAATTCGCCTAACCAGGGGATGATGATGATGCAGCGTCGGAGTTTAATTTCAGATGGCCGACGCACGGTGGAGGAAGATTCTAGGTATTCGCCTCATTCCGTTTTTCTAATGCCTGTGCTCATCTCTCTTGATTCCTAATATTGATAATTGCTTCTGCAGTTTCCTCATCGAAAGAGTCTTTTACAATCTGTTGGTTTCATTCCCTTTGATGCTTGAATAGATACTATAGAAACCACATAATTTCCTTTCAAAGAGTCTGGGATTATAACCCTTTTGCTGCCCGTTCCATGGGGAATCCAGTTGTCAGTTGCAATATCCTCCCAAGTTTCCAAAACCGAGTTCCCCATTATCTTTGTGGTGACGAAAAATTCCACCATTCTTTCTGTGGATCTCATAGTTTGAGGCATTTGATCCCCACCAAAATTTTGCACACATCGAATTGAGGTTGGCACACAGGCTGGTAATTTTATAATTACCCTCATATACCAAAAGTTTATACATTATTAGAATTATATATGTTATTCTAAATACACCACTTCTAATACTTATATTCATAGATACAACTCACAGATGTGTTTTTCACAAGTAATGCAAATTAGGATGATAAGTACTTTTATTTTCCTGCACCTCTTTGCTGCGCGATGAAAACAACACATTACCAAGTAACAGATCATGCATCTCTTGTTGATCAATACATGTATCACTTTTCTATGGAGAACAAATAAGGCTGCCTTTGGCATTCTTGAGCTTTGAAACAGCATCTTTCATGTCAATGCGGTTTGTCGGAGAGTTCATAGTGCATAATAGTGCAACTCCAATAACTTTGATCAAACAATCCTTCTGTTTATCTAAACTTATGATGTGTCTTTCATACTCCAAATCCATGCAAAGTTTCGACAACTTGAAATCTATCACTTCCATCACATCTGCTGGGAAACATGACTCCACCCACTTCACCAGATTCTGTTCTCCTGTGAAATATTCGTCTGTTGGACTCTTTCCTGTAAAAAGTTCTAGTAATGTTACTCCAAAACTATACACATCTCCCGCTGTTGTTGGCTTTACTCCAAAACCATACTCTGCATTATCAGAATTCTCTGGATGGTTAGTTATAAAGCCTTAAAAGATGGCTGATTAAGCATGGATTTTTATTCATGACATGACGTGTGATGAACAAACCTGGAGGAAGGTAACCGATGGAACCTTTTAGGACATGTGTGGAACTTAAGGATTGGGTCATTTCACTTTCAATTAGTAAGCGAGCCAATCCGAAGTCTCCTACTTTCGCAGTCATGTCTGCATCTAGAAGAATGTTGCTTGGCTTTAAATCACAGTGAACTATGGGGAGTTCACAATCATGGTGCAAGTAATTTATTGCTGAAGCAACATCGATGGCAATGTTCATTCGCTCGAGGATATTGAGCCCAATTCCACTTTCGTGGCTTCTTCGGCCGTGAATCCAGCCGTCCAAGCTTCCATTGCTCAAAAGTTCAAAAATCAAAGCTCGAAATTCCATGTTTGAGAAATCTATGCTGGAGCATGATGTGATGAGTTTAACAAGATTTCGATGTCTCGCATTCCGCAAAGCTTCACACTCAGCCATAAAGCTCCTTGTAGAACCAGTCCTGTTGATGTCGAGAACCTTGATAGCCACTGGAATTCCTTGCTTTAAGCTGCCCATGTACACCGACCCAAAGCTTCCTTTTCCAATCAAATTTTTCTCGCTGAAATTCTTGGTTGCCAAACGGAGCTCATCATAAGAGACCATTTCGTGTTCTCCCTTGAGCAATTCAATTGATGATGATGCAATCTTTGATTTTTTCGTCTTAAAATAGATCAGCATACCAATGATAAAGCAGAGTGCTAGTGTTGAAAATACAGCTGTGAAGGCGATAACTTTAATTACTTCGGCACGTTTAGATCCACTCTCTGGACATGAAGGATACAGGCAAAGCTTTGGATTTCCTTCTAAATAAATTCTGCTGTTGCTTTCGAACACTCCACCCCTGGGGACTGCTCCCTCCAGGTTATTAAAAGAGAGATTTAAATATTGAAGGCCTGTTATACTTTGAAGCTCTTTAGGAATGAGGCCTGAAAGATAGTTTAATGAGATGTCAAGACGTCGGAGGCCTCTAAGATCTTTTAAAATTCCAGGAATGGGACCCGAGAATTCATTTCTGGCCATTATCAATACCTCTAAGCTTCTGCAACCACTGATTGAAGGAGGAATATTACCAGAGATATGGTTATTAGATATATCAATGGTTACAACATTTTCTAAAGATCCGATTTCTTCAGGAAGAGACCCACTGAAAAGGTTATTAGAGAGATTTAAAACCATGCTTAAACCAGGCAAATTGAGAGTCTCTCTTGGTATACTTCCATTGAGCTTATTGTTGGACAAGTCCAATGAGATTACTTTCGTAAAGTTCCCAAAAGACGTGGGTATGTTACCAGCCAGATCGTTTCCTGAAAAATCAATTTCACTCAACATTCGAAGATCACCCAAGGAACTTGGAATACTACCAGAAAATCGATTCCTGGCCAAACCAAGCTTTTGTAACTTTTCCAAGTTGCCTATTTGAGGTGGGATTTCACCTGATAACGAGTTGTCGCTCAAATTCAGCAGAGACAAGCCACGCAAATTAGCAATTGAGGTAGGTATATTGCCATACATACGATTCCCTCCCATGTTCAATATCGAAAGGTCCTTCGAAAGATTTCCAATTGATGCTGGAATTAGACCTTCCAACTGATTATCATCAATTGCAAGGTAGTTGAGATGCGAGCTGTTTGTCAAAGAAGTTATGAAGCTAAGTCCATTTTCACCCACGCTGACGATTCTATTTGACCCAATATTATACATTGAAAGTTCACGGAGATTTTCCAGACCTGGTGGCACCGTTCCATGAAGAAAATTGTGAGCAAAGCGTATGACTTGAATTTTCGTGATGTTGTGGAATGACCGAGGGATTGTTCCAGTAAATTCATTGAAGCAAAAGTGGAAGACTAAAAGATTGGGGAGACTCTCTCCAATGTTATTTGGAAATGTTCCCCCAAGTCTGTTTGAAGCTAAGGCCATGGTGACTAACGAAGACATGTTGAACACGTTGGGTGGAACTGCACCAGAGAGATCATTGATACGGAGCACAACATGCTTGAGATTTTTAAGGTCACCCACTTGGCTGGGAATCGATCCACTCAGACGGTTGGTCCCTAAGTTCAAGGTAACGAGCGAAGAAATGTTTCCAAAGGTTGCAGGAATTGTACCGAAGAGTTGGTTGTGTGCCAAGTTCAAGACTTGTAGGTTGGTTAAACTGCCCAGCTCTTCAGGAAGCCTGCCTGTGATTTCATTTGACATCAAGTCAAGAATCTCAAGTGCAGCCATTGCGCTGAAGTTGAAGGGAAGTCCCCCTTCTAAATTGTTGGAACTCATGTTTACAACTCTCAGGCGCAAAAGGTTACCGATTTGTCTAGGGATTGGTCCCGTGAATTTGTTGTTCTGAAGTTGAAGAGATTCAAGGAAGGAAAGGTTCCCAACATGAGGATCTATTGAGCCCGTCAGTCCGAAGCCGGAAAGATGAAGTTCAACTACTCTTCTGCTGCCATATCTGCTGCAGCTGACACCAGTCCAGTTGCAGGGTGATGAATGTTCGTTCCACGACGACAGAGAGCTGACGGATGATAAGTTGAGTCGAGACTTGAATGACAGCAACGCCATTTTGTCTGTGTCGATGCTCAGCATGGTCGATCCATCACAAAGAAGTGTGCCGCTCAAGAGAGCTATAACCGACATGAACACAGAGAAGGGAACAATTTGACAAGGAGAAGCCATGTGTATGAGTTTTAGATTTGAGAAATGTAGGCTCTGCTATTAATGTGCATTTGGCGACCCTTTCAGAGAAGTCGAGAATTCAAGAAGAGTTTTAAATGCGTTTTGTTTTAATATCTATGCACTCGCGAGGACTTGTAAGAACATAAGACACGGTTGGTTGAAGAAATGTCAAGTCAAGAGACGATTAGTATTATAGCACTAGGACACCAAATTGGAAATAGATCATTCTTCTACCAAATGAGATCTTTTTCCAGCATTAATAGCAGCAGCGGTTGGAGCTTTTTTTTTCTTTTGTTTAATTGTTTAATTGAACATGTGAGTGTGACGATTCAAATCTCCGATATTTTGGTCGAGAATATATGTCATAACTAGTTGATGATAGATATTCTAAATCTATATTGAATGATTATTGACTACAGATAAATTTTGGATTTGTATCCATTGGGAGTAAGAGGCGGTTGCAAATATGGAAAAAAACATTTAGTAAAATTAACAAAATAGCAACTAAGATTTTTTTTTAAAAAAAAGATGTTCAATTTTAAAATGAAAACTTTTATCCAAATGATATATATCTATACTATATCTGTAATATATCTAACTATTGATATATATACATATATATATATATATATATACACACACACACACACACATATGTGATATACTATTGATATGAGTGTCTAATATATTTATAATGTGTATGTGATATACATATGATACTACTGATATGAGTGTCTGTGCAATATGTATATGATATATAACTAATATATTATTGATATGAGTGTCTGATATACTAATAATATGAGTGTATGATATACTACTGATATGAGTGACATTTTTTACTATATTTAAAAATTTAAAAAATAGGTGACATATTTTAAAATGTATAAAAGATTTTTGCTACCAATTGTAATTTTCTTAGAAACAAACTACATTGAATAACTTTTCCGTATTGGTTTAAGAACTAAATAGTTATAATATGGTCATATTGAAAATAATGATAAAATTAGGAAAATTTGTATTGGATTCCTAATTGGGTTAGAAAAGCTATTTAGTCAAAGTAACTAGTTCATCTCGACAAATATTGATAAATCGTGTCTAGTACATATCGTTTTCTAAAAATATCTATGTTTATTGTTTACTAGATAGAATTTTGGATGAAAATATTCATGTTGATATTTATAACTCAAATTCACAATATTACATAAATTTATTAATAATTTATGTGATATATGTGAAAAATATTGCCGTTAATATTGATAATTCAAATTCAATAATTTATGTGATATCCCCACATCTCTATCTTTTTTTTTTTAAATCCACGCCCGTGTCTTCAATTTTTTGAAACTTAAAGACTAAATATAAACTTATTTTTAAACTTATAGACTAGAAGTGTTTACTTATAAAACTTAAAAAAAAAAGGTTTAATTAAGTCATAAACTATTATTAAAATATACATTAATATAAAAGTAGAGAGTAAAGCAATGAATGTCAATAAATCAACCAAATGTTATTGATTCATTGTAAATAGACATGTTAATACCAAATAAATACATCACCTAACCCTGACTCATGGTGCTTTTTCCTTTTCTTTTTATCTTTCTTTCCTTCTTCCTTCCTCCTTCTTCTAATGAGAAAAATTGAGGTACAAATATTGGTAAAATATCAGTAAAATATCTAAAAACGTCAATAAGATATAGTAGGTATTTCGACCGTCGTCAATGGTCAACAAGAAATATCAACAAATATTGGCAATATATCACCAATTTTCCATAAAAAAGACTCCCCACTTTTATCATCATGGAACCCATGGACGTTCTACAAACATATTAGTCAATATCAGTCACATTTTCATTCTCCAGCTATTCAGACTATTCTATTGATAGATTAAAGGGAAAGAAATAGACATCTAACAGAAACAAATTGAAAGATTTAAAGCCCAATCAACTTGCTCAAATTTTGTTTATATTAATTCAACAGCAATAAATACATCATTTAAAATACCCATATTCAACTTCAACTTACAGATGTGTATTGCACACAAGTAAAATGCAAATAAGATCGACAACTTTTATTTTCCTTGATCTCTTTAGTCTTTGCTGCAGTGAAGAAAAAAATACATACATCCACCAAACTACAACACAACACTTATTTTAGACTTAGGAGAACGAAGAAAATTATCTTTCGCACTTTTAAGCTTTGCAACCGCATCTTTAATGTCTGTGCGACTCGCGGGAGAATTCACAGTGCATGAGAGTGCAACTCCAATCACTTTGATCAAACAATCCTTGTGCATATCTGAACTTATGACTCGACCTTCGTACTCGAAATCCACACAAAGTTCCAGCAACTTAAAATCAATCACTTTCATCACATCTTCTGGGAAACACGACTCCACCCACTTCACCAGGTTCAAGTCTCCAGTGAAAGATTCATCTGTTGGACTCTTCCCTGTAAAAAGCTCCAACAATGTTACTCCAAAACTGTACACATCTCCTGCTGTTGTTGGCTTCACTCCAAAACCATACTCTGCAAATATCAAAGTGAATCCTTCAAAGTTAGTCATTATAAAGCCTTGAAAAATGGCTGATCAAGCATGTTTTTTTTTTCTTTCACTCTTGATGAACAAACCTGGAGGAAGGTAACCGATGGAACCTTTTAGAACATGAGTGGAAGTGATGGAAGATTGAGGGGTGGCACTTTCCATTAGCAACCGAGCCAATCCAAAATCTCCAACTTTTGCAATCATATCAGCATCTAGAAGAATGTTGCTGGGCTTTAAATCACAGTGAACTATGGGGAGGTCACAATCATGGTGTAGATAATTTATTGCAGAAGCAACATCAATGGCAATGTTCGCCCGCTCAAGAATATCAAGCCCAATTCCACTTTCGTGGCTTCTTTGGCCTCGAATCCACTCATCCAAGCTTCCATTGCTCAAAAGCTCGTAAACCAGAGCTCGAAATTCCATGTTTGAGAAGTCTATGCTGGAGCATGATGTGATGAGTTTAACGAGATTTCGATGTCTCACGTTTCTCAAAGCTTCACACTCTGCCATAAAGCTCCTTATAGAACCAGTCCTGTTGATGTCAAGAACCTTAATAGCCACGGCAATTCCTTGCTTCAAAATTCCCTTGTACACCGACCCAAAGCTTCCTTTTCCAATCAAATTCTGCTCGCTGAAATTCTCTGTTGCCAAACGCAGCTCATCATAAGACACCATTTCGTGTTGACCTTTGAGTAAGTCAACCAATGGTGCAGTCTTTGACTTTTTCCTCATGAAATGGATCAACGTACCAAAGATGAAGGACAGTGCCAGAGCTGAAAACACAACCGTGAAGATTATAGCTTTGACTGCTTTGTCTCGTTTGGAGTCACTCTCTGAACATGAGGAAGAATACAAGCATAGCTTTGGATTTCCTAGTAAACTGACATTGGTTTTACTTTCAAAGATTCCACCTTGAGGAACTGCTCCCTCGAGGTCGTTAAACGAGAGATTCAGATACTGAAGGGCTAATAGATCTTGAATGTTATCAGGGATGGGGCCAGAGAGATGATTTGAGGAGAGGTCAATGACTTGGAGGCCTTTAAGTTCTCCTAGAGTACTGGGAATTGGACCTGAGAATTCATTTCTTGCCATGAACAACTTCTCCAAGCTATCCCAACCTTTGATAGATAAAGGAATCTGTCCAGATATGAGATTGTTTGACATATCAATCTGAAAGAGCTTTCCAAGGGACCCAATTTCCTCAGGCAGAGGACCAGTAAGGAAATTGTTGGAAATGTTCAATGTAGTACTCGCAGGGAGATTGAGAGCTTCTTTGGGTATGCTTCCATTGAACTTATTGTTGGATAAATCCATCGAAAGAAGCTTCTGGAAGTTTGAAAAAGAGGTGGGTATGCCACCAATCAGCTCATTTCCTGATAAATCAAGAGTTGTCAGTTTTTGAAGATTCCCCAAGGAGCTTGGAATCGAACCCGAGAGCCGATTTCTGGCCAAAACAAGGCTTTGGAGGTTCTCCAATTGGCCAATCTCTGGTGGGATTTCGCCAGAGAGCGAATTGTAGCTCAAATTCAGCAAAGCCAAGCCATTTAAATTCCCAATTGAGGGAGGAATATTTCCAGAGAGACGATTCTGTCCCATGAACAATATGGAAAGAGACTTGGAAAGATTCCCAATGGATTCCGGAATCTGACCTTCAAAATTGTTGGCATCAATGGCAAGAAAAGAAAGGCGAGAACTGTTTGTCAGTGAATTGATGAAACTAATCCCATCTTCACCTGAAACGAGCTTATTGTACCCAACATTATACATGGTAAGATTGTGGAGATTCTCCAAACCTGGTGGCACGGTCCCTTCAAGAAAGTTATAGGCAAAACGAATGACCTGAATATTAGTGATATTATGCAGCGAAGGAGGAATGGTTCCTGTAAATTCATTGAAACAAAAGTTGAAGACTAAGAGATTGGGGAGTGTTTCCCCAATATCCCTTGGAAATGTTCCCCACAGCTTGTTGGAAGCCAAGGCCAGAGTAACTAAAGAAGACATATTGAATATGGCAGGGGGAACAGTGCCTGTGAGATTGTTAATGGTAATGATAAGATCCTCGAGATTTTGGAGCCGACTCAACTCACTCGGAATCGGACCTGTGAGAGAATTTGTACCAAAATTGATGGTGACAAGAGAGGAGAGGTTGCCAAACGAAGGTGGGATTTCGCCAAAAAGATGATTTTGAGCCAATTTCAAGACTTTGAGGTTGGTTAAGAGACTGAGTTCTTGAGGGAGACGTGCTGTGATCTTATTGGATGTCAGATCAATAGTCTCAAGGGCAGCCATTCCACTGATGTTGGAGGGGAACCCACCTTCAAGGGAGTTGGAGCTCAAGTTGAGGAGTTTGAGGCGAAAAAGATTGGAAATTTGATGGGGGATTGGTCCTGTTAACAGGTTGTTTTGGAGCTGAAGGGAGTGGAGAAATGAGAGGTTGCCAATATTAGGGTCTAAGGATCCTGAAAGTTGCAGGCTTGAAAGATCAAGGGAAACAACTCTAGTGCCATCTTTGTCGCAACTGACACGAGTCCAGTTGCAGGGGGATGAGTTTTGGTCCCAAGAAGACAAGGGATTTGAAGGCTGGAGATTGCTAAATCCAGACTTCATGAAAATCAAGGCCTGTTTATCTGTTTCAATGCTCAAACTGGCTGACCCAACGCTGGAGAATGAGGCTGTGAAAGCTAAAATTGTGACAGATATGGAAAAAACAACAAGTGGGGATGGAGATGGAGCTCCCATGGCTCAAAAGCTCTTAGATCAGTAGTGTTGGATTGTGATTTTGAACAACAGAGGAGAGGAAGCACACTATTTATTACTGAATTCGTAAAGGTTACAAGTAAATATATACTTTATGGTCTTTTTCATTCTTGTCGTTTTTTCTCAACGAATGGAGTGTCCATTAATTGCTCCTAGAAGGGAAATCATAGAGAAAATAGTATAAAAAATTTGAGTTTGAGTGTTGAAATGGTGAGTATTGGTATAGAAAATATGGTGACGGTCAAATATATTCAAGCCATGAAAAAGAAAGTTGCTTGAGATGTCAGTCCAGGGCGATGTCACAAAGAAAGTCAATGGTTTGAAGGTTCATTAACAATTTATTTTATAGAAGATGAAGTTTTGTTCCATTAATAAGATATTAATATATTAAAAAAACAGCGAGTAGTCTCGGGTGAGCTTTATTCCTATCCGATAATCATTGTGCAAGACAATAATTATTTTCTCAATGTTGTTTTGTCTCTTTATGTAGTTGATTCTTGATTTTAGGACAAGTGAACTTTGTTGACGTAGAAAATGAGGTGGAGTTTACTTAATCAACATGATGATCGACACACAGAACTGCACGGGTGGCATGTTGTGTCAAACACACACTGATGCTTAAATTAGTATTTACATCGAAGTATATTGAGCTGAGTAAGGGTCATCTCATACGTACCTGACCCTGAGGGAGATTCTGCTATTTATAGAAAATTTATGTCTTGTGGGTCCTAGATGGTCTTATCGAGTGTGATCCAAAGATTGGAGATTCTGTGGTGTGCTCCACCTTATATGTGGTTGAGGTGAGCTCCACCTCACACATGGTCGATGTGTGATCTTATTTCTTAGGCGGCCTCTTGTGACAAAGGTGTGCTACACACTCGTGTGGCCAAGGTGTGATCTACCTCATTATCATGTGGCTGCGTTCATGGCGACCACAAGGTAGGTATTTATAGACCTATAACATTAGCCTCCACTTCTAAGTTGGATAATAGGTTAAACCAACGAACAGGTTGGACGCAATCTGGCTTTGGAAGCAATCTACATTGTTGTCCTGTGTAGGCTCCCACCTTGACATGGGGGAGTGATGGAACCTTTGCATGTTAAATTGGATCCCACATTGGCTCCAAGGAAAATGTGATCATTGCTCGAACAAGGTGAGCCATGGCCAATTATGTTGGGAAAAAAATATAGATCAATCGATTCTCCTATAAGTTCTTCAAACATGAACTATTTGATTTTATCTTTCCATGGGTTAAAAGCAGATAAATAAGTAACAATAACAAAAGAATAAGAGAAAGCTTAACAGCACAAGGGTTCAACTATAGTTGGGAATCAAGATATTACTATCTTGCTTCTAAGTACCCTAACAATAGCTACCTAAGATTACACAATTGAAAATACTCTCACTCAAACCCAGGGATACAAACTCCTTTTTTTTTTCAACATTGCCCACAACCAAGTCTCTTAAGTAGGACACGGGATACAAAAATACTTGTAGGACTTGGTAGTAGTGTTTGAAAATCATTTTCTTCGTAGGACACAGATTGCTAAAAAATTGAAAACTCTTTATATCTTTGAAATACATAACATTTATCTTTTACACTTTTCAAAAATTCAATGATGGTCAGCATGAGAGGGTGTTCACCGATACGTATCCAAGTATTTTTTTTCCAAATGGTAACACTTATCTCAATTTAAATTAATGAAACAAAAGTTTTCATCACTAGTCAAATTGGAGTTTCCATTTCTGCTTGACACTGGTCAAATTGAAGTTTCAAATAAAGATAGATGCAGGCCTTGCCCAGTCGATTTTTTTTTTTCCTTTCAAATATAACCTTTCAGTCTTTAGCTTTCAAAATGTACTTATTAGGTTTGCAAATTTACTTCAAAGATCAAGTAGGCAAGGTTTTTTTTTTTTTTTTTTTTTTTTGATAAATTCATGGTTGTTTGTAAGGAAATGTGTTAGCAATAGTACCATTTGGACATTGATAGTTAATACCAACATGATTCCAAATAATATTGATAGTCTGACGGATCAGGTGGGATGTGGCATAAAAGTAAAGTACGGTTGCCACATTGTACACTGCACGTGAACACAATCCTTCTGAAAAATACAATTCTTAATGAAGGGTTAAGGGCACTTGGGCTTGCGCTTGGAGTTTTTCATTTGGGCATAGCAAGGGCACTCGTGCTTATTCCCGTAGGTCCCTGATGGCACGCAGTGGCACTTCTCGCAGCAGATCCCGCAGTATTTGATGCACCGATCCTGGACTCCAGCTTTTGCGCATCTTTCTTTGCATTTCCAGTTGCAGAAACTACCTTCACCTAATTTAACCCAACAAATTAAAGACACACCAAAAAGAATGAGAAAAAGAAAATGGAATGTTAAAAAGTAATTTCGTTCTTAATTACCTGAGGCAGCCATGGAGAGGTCGACGAAGAAGGAGAGTAGGAGCAGGCAAGTCAGAAGATGAAGAAACTTCATTTTCTCGGGAAACAAACAGATATGGGATTTGGGATTTGGGATTTGGGGTATTTATATTTAAAATTTTGAAGTGGTGGGTTTTGGGGTAGGTGAAAATGTTAATAAATTTGATGTTTTCAGGGGGTGGAAATTGGAATTAAATCAAACTCAAAACACACCAGCACATTCCAGACTGTCAAATAACTTAAATCCACACTTACACTAAGATTCCTTCTTCCATTTTAGCTTCTATTGCTAATGTACCTCACAGATGTATCAACTTTTACAGACCTACCAATCATGCTTTGACACCTCTTACTAATTATAGTGTTTGGTAGTGCGGGGCTTACGTGGCTTCTGCTAAATGGACCGTCACCCTTCTCCTTCACTGCTAAGTCCAAGCATCATTCTTGTTTAGTACCAACGTTTCCAGAAGATTCCCCGATTGACCCAGTTGGAAGGCGGGGAAAAGTTTGTTGCACTTGCATGGTAAATTTTTTTAAATATTAATTTTACACAGAAACTAATAAAATATATTTATTAATAGATTTCCGACAATAATATAAAACTTTTAAAACTATGAAATAGACTTTATTGAAAATTTAAGAGAAGTTTAATTTGACTGAAACCACTGGAAGACTGCTTCACAATTAATTTTCATTCTATGCCAGTGTTGAAATCGTCAATGGTTAAAACAAATTCACCACAAAAAAAAAAAAAAAGAAATGGAAAATTCAATTTTCATCCCTACAAAACAAGTGTTTTGTATCAATTTTGAGTAATGGAGAGAGCATAGAAATTTTGAGGAAAGGTGAGTTAAGAAAATAAACAATAAAAAGGAAGATCCTCCAAATATTTTCTCCAATAGTAAAATTTTACAAAGTCTCTAACATGAATATCTGGTCTTAATTTTCATTTTTTTAAACGTCTTATTTTTATTTTAAATTAAATTTATGAAGGATTCATTTTCACGTTAAATATTCTTTTCAAACCATTTTTCATCATATAATGAAAGAAAAGAAAAATTATATATATATATATATATTTTTAGTACAACAATGTGTAGAGTGGAAGTTTAAACACATCATCTTTTGACGGGCGATACATGTTGAGCTACACAGAACACTTCAATCTCCCTCATGTTCCCAACATTTTATTTAAAATTATAGTTGTATTTATTTTAGTATTATTCTTAATACTTTCAATTCACTTGTATGAAAAATATGATAAAAAAAATTTCACAACAGTAAAGATGAGATTAAGGATGGCAAAAAAAAAAACTGGCGGGACTCAATTCCTACCAATACCTGAACCAGTCGGATCAGAAAATCCCCGATTTTTTTAAATGACTATATATGTCGTTATCTTCTTTATTTTCCGGTTTGGAAATGAAATCCCATGCAAAAAGAAGAAGGCCTGGCCAATTAGAAAGCCCAAAAGGAGAGAGGCCCATACCTGGTCCAAAATTTTTGTTATTTTAATATATTTATTTTCTTTTTACTTATTAAGTTTATGAGAACCGTTAAATATTTTACAAAATTAGCAATGCAAGTAAACCATTTTAAAATTAAAGTTGTCTAATTTTTAACCTTAAAACGTGTAAGTTTTCAAATATATCTATTGATTATTTAAAGAATGAAAAATATTTGAATGAGAAACATTTTCCTTTTTTAGTTCAACGATAAAGTGAGATTTAAACATCAAAATAGAAGAACTTCGCAATCTCGTTCCATCCTAATAATTTCTTGAAATTTTCCAAATGCCTGATAAATCTCTTTTATTATTATTTTTATCTAATAGGTTCTTCATTCAAAAAGTATCTAATATATTGTTGACATATTCAAAATTTTTAAAAACCCACCGATTTATTGGACACAAAATTGGAAGGTCCTTTCTAATTAAGACATTATAAATTCGTGAGTTTTATAAAAAATGTCAAATATGACAAGGACTTATTAGACCCCATTTAAAAGATTCATAGACTAAATTTATAATTTTTATTTTTATTATTATTATTTTGGTATAGCCTCCCATTCTCATAAATGTCTTATATTATGCCATCTCATTATCAAAATCGTCACTTTTTTTTTTCTCTTTTTTTTTTTACAGTGTTACATTATAGAGGTTGGGAAGAAATGATGAGTAAAAAGTTTTCTCGTCCCACCGTGTGGCTAGAAAAAGTGCTTCTATCAGAAATTTAACGATGCGATCTTTATTCTTTAATGGCTTTTGTTTTCTTTTTCGCTCAAAAGAAAAGGAAAGCTGTGGGTCTGAATTCTGAAACACCCTCTTCAGATTCATCTCACCAATTAGCAACTCTGAAAATGACAACTTTGGACAGCTGAGTTGGCAATTCCCAATATGCCTTTTTTCTTTCAATTCGTCCTAAATTTAATATATTGGGTCTCTGCCAAAATACAAATTTTCCATCTTTCCTCTCAATTCGATTGATTTTCCATTTTTATTCATTTTATTTCCTAAGTTTCTAGTCCTTTTTACTACACAATATATTATAGCAATGTATAGACATGTTTCATAGGGACAATAATAAGTCTTTCTAGTTGGGAGAACTTAACGGTGAAATAGACAATGTCATATCAATTAAAAATAGTGAGTGCCTGTCATTTTCGAACCATAATAATTCTAACCAATATAGAACTTCCAACTATTCGGTAATTTTTCCATCAAAATGTAAGATTATATTATTACACTTTTCAATTATACCCTTGGTAATAATATTAATCAATATAGGTAAACCTTTTATAAATTCTCCTTGCTAATATGTACTTTCTCTTGTTAATCTGTCTCTCATTTTCACTCCCATTCTTGGGTGGGTTGGGTGTGAATTTTTATTCATGATACTGGAAGTCGAAAGTGTTTTTTTTTTAATATAGAATATTTGTTAACACATAAAAATCACTTTTGAAATAATTAAATTGGTTTAAATTTTTTTTAAATACTTTAAAATTGATTTTCTAAAACATAAATGATCGATTGAAAGTCACTTTAGAATTATACAATTTGGTATTTATAGAATCATTTTTAGACATAGTACCACCCAACAAATTTTGTTTATTAAACTCAATAACTAAACACAAAAGTATTTTAATTAAACACGTTTATACAAAAATTGTTTTAAGTAAAACTATATTTTTTAATGTTGAAATGAGAAGGTACGCCAAACTCAATCTCAAGAGTCACTTTTAATTTCTTTAAATTAACCTTAAATATGATAAGTTGGTGAAATAGGTGCATCCTTAGAACTAAAGTAGAGAGTTACTTCTAAACCAACCAATAAATTATACAAATTAAATAAACAAAAAATATACTCAAAATCAGGTCACAAAGACCAACATAGCTCAAACAGTAATTGACTTGTTCGGGTATGTTGATGCTAGAATTCTGCCTTCTGGGATCTCGCCAAATTCGCACCAATCTTCAAGAACAAAGGGATTGATGAGACCTGCAAAATAGTACAACACTAAGACTGGTGTGGCTTTTGCCACATGGACTCCGATGCCTAAGTTAGTATCGGAGTATTCGGGTTTAAAGAAAATACTATGCATCTGATGGCTTCTGTTACGCCGTAGATGTCTGCCCAACTTCTTCAATCATTGGAGCTTTACCCTTTCGTGGATCACGAAAAAGCGCTGGTTGTTCCACCTCATGTTGCTCGAGTTTTTGTAGAAGCAGGGACATGCTCCGGTTCATTCCCTCTACCTTCTCTTCTAAGGCGGCCATCTTGTCGCCCAGTTGATCCAAACCTTCGATCAGCTTGTCTTTCGATCCGAGAACTGGTCGGTCGGTATCCGTCGGTACGAGTACTGGTCGGTCAATATCTCCTTCGACTGCCTCGGGCGGGGATGTGTCCCCATTAACCTTCCTCCTATGGTGGCACTCTTCATTAGAATGTCGTGGACTCCTTCCCGAGCTCATGTTGACAAGTCTACAATCTCTAATCGTTCCCACAGATGACTCCAATTGTTGATGCTAGAATTCTGCCTCCAGGGATCTCGTCGAATTCGCACCAATCTTCAAGAACAAAGAGATTGATGAGACCTGCAAAACAGTGCAATACTAAGACCGGTGTGACTTTTGCCACACAGGCTCCGATGCCTAAGTTAGTATCGGAGTAGTCGAGTATAAAGACTATGGTTGTTAGGCATACCTCTAGGGTTTGACTTACCCTTGTATTTATAATGATCAACTCCTAATCCCCTAGGGTTTACATTCGTCGAATCCTTATGAACTCAGGAGATCACAGAATGGGCCTCACGCTATACTATTTAGGGCCGAGACCAAGTCGACTCGGATTGGGCTTGCACGGGGGTCGGGAATCACTGGAGAGGTTCTTGGCCACTAGGCCGAGAACCCCTCGACGTCGAGCACTGCTCGGCGCCAAGGTCTGGTCGGCTATGGCTGGCCTGGGTCGCTGGGCCCCGACCCGCTTACCTCTCTCCGCTTATCAGAATGTTACCAAAGGAGCCCCAAGTTTCTTGATTCCATGTTCAGTTTTTTTTCCAAAACATAAATAAAATAATTATTTTGTCATTATTGACCTATAAAATGTTTAATAAATATTTAAAATAAATAAATATGACATAAAAATTTTGGATATTTAATTAAAAAAATCATTTCCATATTAAAAAAATTTTATTTTTGAATTTAAACTTTGGAGACTGATAAACAAGAAATAATTACCAAATATTTTTATATGTTTTAATAAAAAAAATAAAAAAACAAGAAACTTGTCCAACACAGTCCTATTTTATTTATTAAAAATTGATGCAACAAGAAAAACAATGAAGAAAAATAAAAACAATAACAATAAACAGAAATGGTACTAATGTATCCATTAATACTCAAATTCCAACCATCCAAATATTCAAACGAAATTATATAGGTAAAATATATATATATGTATGTATATATATATGTATGTATCTGTATATATATATGTATGTATCTGTATATGTACATACGTATATACATATAAATGTATATACATACATATATATATTCCAAACCTAAAAATAAAAGGTCCAAAATATACCTAAAAAGCATCCAACAGTTGCAACACAACCAAAAAAGTCAAAATTCACAAAAACGTCTCCTCTAAGCATAATTATTCATGGCCAATTACAAATACTAAAATAAATAAATTGAAAGAAAAAAGAAAAGAAAGAAGGATGCTTTCTTCTATGTCAAGTTAGAGGTATATGTCAAGTTGAATTATGCTCACTTTCGCAATTTCGTCATTGGTTTGAGTTTATATTTTAATTTAAAAAAATTAAATTATAAATAACAAATTAAGAATAAGAGGATGAAAAGAATTTTTCTTTTCTTTAAAAAATCTCCCAGAGATGGCACAGGAGCAAAATCCTTGAGCTTTAATACTAAAAATAATAATAATAATAATAAAATTTTAAAGTCTTAAATTCAATAAGTTAATTTCAGTATTTTTTTTAAAAGACAGTTTCAATGTTACTCAGTCTAGATAACAAATCTTTACCATAGAGATCCATTAGTACAAATCACATAGTATTTATTTCGAGATATTATATATATATATATATATATATATATATATATATGTATATACATATATATATAAAGCCTCCCAAAAAAGAAAATTTAGGAGGTAGGATTGTAGGGGTAGGCTACTGGCTACATAAAAGTGAACAAATTTCCATACCACAGTAAGCAACAGCAATATCTCAACATATTCAATGCGTAAAATTGTCGCTACCTCAATTTTCTTTTTCCTTTTTTATTTTCAAACAGTTTTCAACTCAGATTTGTTCGATTAAATTTAAATAAAAACTGTTTTATATAATTTTCCAATGCTGGGGTCCACAGATCCCCAACCAGAGGAGCCCATTCAGTGCCGTCCCAAGTTCGAATCCCTCCGTTACCCTTGCCCACACAACTATCACTTCCTCAATCCTCATGATAAAATAAATAAATAAATAAAACTCATCCCCAGCCGCAACTTTTTCTTCGCATTAAATTACATATTTCTTGATTTCTGTAACCAGTAGATATTATTTAATAAATTCTTGTATCTAATGAATTTATGAAATTTAAATTTGTATCTAATAGTCCCTAACTTATTTCGCTATTTGCCAAACCGAGCATAGCTCAAATGGTTAAGGCACCTATCTCTGACCACCCCCACAATGTTGTACTCAGAAAAAAAAAAACTTATTTCGTTATTTTAAAATTTTGTGGATCTATTAGACATTAAAATAATATTATCTTTCAATTTTTTTGTTTAATAGATTAGTGAATTTTAAAAAATATCAAATCGGTCAATGGTCTATTAAATGCAAAGTACAAGTTTATGAACTTATTTGACACAAAATTGAAAGTTTAGGAATCTTTTAGACTTTTTTTTAAATGCTTTTTAGACGTTTTTTAATAAAGTTTAGAGATTTAATAAACACAAAAATACAAATTTGAAGATCGGATCAAAGGTTTTTTAAAATTTAAGAATTAATTAGAAAGTTTATCAACTAAATTTGTAACTTAATTTAAGTAATTGAATTAATTTAACTTGTTTTTATTTTTAATGAAGGTAGATTGATAGGGAAGGATAATCAATATTCAGATTGATGACTTAAAAGCAATACGTGAGTTGTGAAACTATTTTAATTTGTTAAAAAATCTAATTCAACAAACAAAATACTAATACTAATACCAAAAGGTTCATTAAAAAAAATAAAAATAAAGTTCTAACGACTCCATTTAAAAGTTTTTAAATTTCATCATATAACATCATAGATTACCAAATATTTTAGGAGTTTTCTTCGTCATTTTAATAACTCTTTCATATATATATATATTTATAATTTGATGAACCAAATCAAACCATTCAGGGTAAATTTATTCTAGACGGGTACTAAAAAATATATAATAAAATAAGACGGAAAGTGAAAAAAAAAAATCAAACAAAACTAGTGGTTTGCACATACCTCTTAGTCTCCTTTCATTCATTTCCACTCAATAATTCCTTTATATCTTCTGCCATCAGATTAAATAATATTTTTAAAAATCTTTAAAATATTATTTTTAGCAAAAGCAAATATTGACATCCAAATAAGCTAATTTAATGTCAGAAAATAAATAAACAAAAATATTTAACATATTGTCATTTTCGTTCATTTCTTCAAGTGTTACCTAGTTTGGTCAGGTTGGATCTTACTAGATTTAATTAGAAGCAAAAAAGATTTATAAAAAGAAGTTATAAACGCTTCCAATACTACGTCGTTTCTTTCAAAGTAAAAGAAGCGAGAGAAGAATTAAGCATTATTACCATTTATTTCTTAAAAAAAATAAAAACTTTTGGCGCATGCTTACCGCGTTGATCATTGAATCGTAGACTTTACAGACCCCCGGTTGCGATTCCTCTGCGACCTCCTCGCCGATTTTTTGACATAATTACAATTATATTATAATTAATTTCCGGTGAACGGCGGCGGTGCTCCCGGGAGAGCGCCGCCGTATTCGAAAAGATAAAATATGGGCGTCATTTCTCTTTCAGTGTGGGTAAAAAAGCATCTTCATCTGGTCTTGTCGTGTCGTAGCAGCCCCATTCCCCAACCAACCAAAATCTTCCCGTCTTTAAAATCCCATATATTTTTCCAAAATTAAATAACGTGCGATGCACGTGACGATGATATATGTATTGATTATAACAAGGAATTAGGGTGGGGAGGGGAAGACGACGGTTACAGTCCCTACAATGGAGATAAATTAAAAAATAAAATAAATAAAATGGCGGTGAAAATAACGGCTTAAGAATCAGATGGGGGAGCCCATCAGTTTCCGCGGCAAATTTAACAAATCTTTATCGAGAAAAAAAAAGAAAAAAGAAAACAATAATTTCTTAAGCTTTTCGATTGAGAGAAAAAGGAAAAAAAAAAAAAGAATTATGTTTATTGTTTCCTTCTTCCAAACGGCATCCTTTTATCTTCTTTTT